AGTAACACAATCTCCAAAAACACTTCTCATCCTGAAAAATATTCTCAACCAGAAGAAAAGTCTCCTTTGGAGGCGTCCACCAGATAATTCCAGAGAGAACCATCACTAGAGGATACCAGACCACACATGGTAGATTCGAACTCAGTCTAGTTGAGTCCGTTATCTAAACAAATGGACCTCTCTACTAGTTCTGCAAAGCAAAAAAAAAAAAAAAACATTCAGTGGCAGATTGTAGAGGAATTTAGACAACCACATCATGAAGAAGAAGTAAAGGACATGGAGCTGGAAACAAGGGTTGTTGAGGGTGACCAGATCCATGTAACACCACAAGAAGTTGTGTCTCAAGTGGGAACAAGAGGTTCAACTAATACTTGGAAGAGATCAAAGACTTTGTTAAGTCAATGAGTAAGAAGTTGGGGTATGAAGATAGGTGTGCAACAGTGGATCCTAAAGGGTTAAGTGGAGGAATGGTTCTACTGTGGAAACTAGAGGTTGATGTGATTCAGTTAATCTGCAAAGAGTTCTACATAGCAGTCGAATTCAAAACAAAGAATGACGGGTGTTCTTGGGGAATCTTTGTTTATATGAGCTTAGATAAATCCTAGAGGGAATCTCAGAGAGATGTTTCGAAAATTGATAGAAGAAGCTGAGGAGATCATTGGTAGGGGTGAGCATGGTGCGGCTCTGTGCAAAACCGCACCGAACCGCAAAAAATGGAAAACCAATATTTTTTCATTTACCCAAACCGAATCGCCCGAAACATGTAGAAAAATTGAACCGAAACCGTTGCGAAATTTTCGGTTTGGTGCGGTGTGGTGCGGTTTCGGTTAACCGCAAATTAAAAAAAAAAAACAAAAAAAATAAAATGAAACTACATCATCATCATCATCTAATATGCAACATTACCAAACCAAAAGCCCAAAATTTGAAATGAAAGTGAAAAACTAAGGCAAGAAATTAGATTTTAATGTAATGTTATTAATTTTTAATTGTTATTATTATTATTATTTATTACTTTACTTATTTATTGTTAATGTTAGTTATCCCAAACCAAAGGCCCAAAATGAGCATGTATATGTACAATAGAAACATGTTAACATATTTCATATTTGTAAAAAAAAAAATCATGTTCGGTGCGGTTCAATTAAAACCGCATCATTCGGACAAAAATTCAAATCGCACCAAAATTTTTGCAGTTTTTAAAATTTAACTGCACCAAAACCAAATCGAACTGCACCGGATACATCGACTTGATTCAGTTTTTCGGTTTCGGCTCGATTTTGCTCACCCCTAATCATTGGTTCATCTTGGGAGATTGGAATGACATTTGCACTAGGAAGGATAAAAAAAAAAAAGGCAGAGAAAGGAGTTCTAGGAGTTTATGGGAGCTCAATAGCTGTATATCTAAAATGGTAATGGAGGAGGTAAGAATGGTGGGATATCAGTTTTCTTGGGCCAATAACAGGGTGACAGAAGGGTATGTAGAGGAAAAGCTTGACAAGGCTTTTGCATGTTCTGAGTGGCTATATTCAAATCAGAATTCTTCAGTATTAAATGTCTTAAACAGTGCATCTGATCACTCAATGATCCTTTTGGACAATGGACAACTTAAACCATGATTAAGGAAGCGGTTTATTTTTTACCACATATGGCTAAAAATGGAAGGCATCAACGAAGTTATAGAGTCAGCCTAGTCAAAATCACAAATGGGCACCCCTTTCTACATGCTTAAGGAAAAAGTTAAAAAAGCAAGATTGGCCTTATTAAGGTAGATCTCTCGGTTCAAAATCCAAGTAAAATAGAAGGGTTAACAATGAGGCTGTAGTAGATTAGAGAAGAGGGCAGAGAGGACAATTGGGAGGAATGAGAGAAAGTGAGGATATAATTGGATGGAGCTCACAGCATAGAAAAACAATATTGGAAGCAAAGAACAAAAGCTCAATGGTGGAAGGAGGGGAATGCCAACACATAATTCTTCCATGCCTACACAAGACAGAGAAGAAAACTGAATTCTATCTCTAGACTGATAACTAGAGAGAACATAGTGTGTCAATCTCAAGCTGGCCTTGAAAACCACATTTCAGACTACTTTGGCACTTTGTTTAGTTCATAGGGTTCTTGGAGAGGTGAAGCTCGTATTCAATTAATCCCCCAATCAATTAGTTCAGCTATAAACCAGGATCTGCTAAAACCAATAGAGGAAAAGTAGATCAAGACAACATTATTCAGCCTGCCCTCCGAGAAATCTCCAGGAGAAGATGGTATGAATGCTAGATTTTACCAACACTTCTGAAACTTGTTAAATCTAATCTGATTGATGCTATCAAAAGTTTCTTTGAGACTAGGACTTTCCTTCAATACTGGAATCACACATTGGTTACATTGGTTCCTAAATGTAAGAACCTTGAGTTTCTTAGTAAGTACAAACCTATTACCCTATATAGTGTGGTCTATAAAGTTTTCTCTAAAATTTTGGCTTTCTGACTGAAGTTGTGCTTAGATTCTTGTATAAGTTCTTGCTAATCTGCCTTCCTCCAAGGAAAACAACTCTTAGACAATGTGATCATTGCCCAAGAGGCTTGTCACTTTTTCAGTAGGCATAGAACAGGGAAAAACTACTTCATGGCTCTGAAACTAGATCTTATGAAGGCATTCGATAGACTGGAATAGAGGAGTTCGCAAAAAAGTTATGGTTAAATTGGGATTTGACCTGAAGTTTGTGAACTTAATCATGACTTGCCTGTCTTCTTACATCTCTTGCTTTCAACGTGAATGGGGGCTGTTGGGGGGCTTGTTTATCCTTCTAGGGGAATTCGTCAAGGAGATCCTTTTATCTCCATATATGTTCATAATAGTTGTTGAATTGCTATCTACACTGATCATAAATGTCGTGGATAGGGGAACTTTGGCAGGTTTAAAACATTCAAGAGATGGACCCTCTATTTCACACTTAATGTTTGCAGATGATGTTCTCTTTTTCTGTAAGGCTGGGACTGATCAAGCGCAAATTCACATTAACATCTTGCAGCAATACAGATTTTTCACAGGACAAAGGGTAAATCTGGAGAAATCCACAATATTCTTTAGCAAGAGCACTGCTTCTATCTTGAAACTCAATATCTGTCAGTACCTGCAGGGAATTAGAACACACCAATCTACCAGATATTTGGGTCTCCCTCTTGTGATAGAAAATCCAAAAAGTAGACATTTGAGATAGTGTTAGAGGCAGCTAGGGCTAAACTGATCAGCTGGAAAAATAAACTCTCGTCCCCAACTGGTAAAGAAGTACTTATTAAGGTTGTGTTGAATGCCCTCCTAGTGTTCACTATGGCATGCTTCAAAAAGTTATCAGTTTTCATTTTTGTTGGTCATTGATTCAGCGTAGGAATTTCATTGTGGCATACTGTTGAATATGAAGGTCAAAGCACGATACATATGATGAAGTTGTTGAAAAAATAGCTCACCATCTTTGAATGGATGGTCCTTCTACGCCTAAGCATCGCCTAGCCACTTGACCAATTTTTTCAGCCGATTCATACAAATAGGAGGTGGTCGGGCGGCGCCTGGCGCCTAGACCGATTTTCAGTGCACTGTACAAAAGTCTTTATCCTCCCCCAATTGGAGACAAAACACTCTCTAGATGGAACGCCAAGACATTCCAAAAGGAGACCAAAGCAACATAGACACAAAATAAAACAAAACAAAACAAAAAACTAAAAAAACAGTAAAATAAGAGCTTGTTTGTTAGACTGGATGGGATGAAATTATGTCTCCTATCTACCCCTGAACCTGTGTTTGTTAGTAGAGATTGCGGTCCACCATATTGTTCAAGGCCCGCGACTCAAACAGGTCTAATCACACGTTTCTACTTTCAGGGACTAAATGATCATTGCAGAGAGGGTAAGATAACAACTATCTGTACAGTAGCATCTTTGTTAAAAATCTGAGGCCTCATTTGTTAGCTAGAGCTAAAACTAGTTTTCATATATAAAGACGGGGTTAAATCATAAAGAGGTTTTGGTTATTTTAATGATCAATATTAATTGCATTCATGGTTTTTTTATAATCCATATTAGTTTGATTCTTTTTATTTATCAGTAGCAATTGCATTCATGGTTCTTTTAATTATCAATATTTATGGCAGTCACACGTCAACCTTTCGTATGGAGAAAAAACTAACTTGAACATCGGAAATTTACACCGAAAACTCTCCCAAGGCTTTTTCATGTATTCCGGTGAGTAACCCGGGCCAATTCATATATTAGAAAAGAAGACCGGTATGTATTCCAGTGAGTAAGCCGGGCTGGGCCAATTCATAGATTAGAAAAAATGATCGGTAACCTCAAACCAGAGCTATTTAATAGACCCCTATCAATTGTTTAAATACTAGAAAAGAAAATAAACAAAAAATCTGCCCAAATATGCTATAAGAATACTTGGATTCACCAGGATCAATCCTTATTGTACAACAGAATCCGCCAGAATAACAATTCTTACATTAAAAATAAACCCAAAGCAATGCGTAACAGAGTCTAGCATTATCCAGGATGATCATATTTCATTGATCACAACTCTAGTCTCTATGAATTCTCTACAAACAGCATCGTTTCCATAATACAGGAGCCTCGGAAGATAAAATTGAACAGTTCTCATCTTGACAACCAGAAAAACAAATTACAGCACAAACATAAGCAACCAAGATATAATTAGCCAACAAATTAATTAATGCGTGATGGTTGGAACAATCCAAACAAATCCTTCCCTCGTCTGCCTGGCTGATAGGTCAGTGTCCAGCTCTTGGACCGTGTCTGACTCTATCTGGAACTTTTCAACACCACCACAAATTTTCCAAATCTCAATATCTGGCTGCACGCTACGAGAAATCAAAATAATGGAACGCTGAGCACTTAACAGGCATTGTATCTTTATGGGCCACATTTTTTTATATGCTTTACACCTGCACTTAGAAAAAAGAGAGGTGTCGTCTCTAATCCTCATAACTATAAACTCCTGTAGTCTATCACAGTGACTTCATCATCTGGAGCATCCAGGTCATTATAGCTGCAGAATTGTTAAAATCCAGGTCAGAATTCATATGCAACACGAATAACTGTAGTGATAAAAACAAATTATAATGCATTTCATGCAGATTGAAGTCTATTTAAAGCAAGGTTTATACAATAAGTTATCTATATTTTACTAGCATTGGTTCCAAAAGTATATAACTATATATATATATATATATAGGGATTGGATCCAATGAGTACACATATT